AGCCGCGCGTGGAGGGGGCGAGGGGGTGAGGGCCGGGACCGGGAGAAGGCTCGGCGCGTCCCGGTGCCGCGCCGGGTTCGGCCGGTCGGGGCCCGGCGCGGGGCGGCCCCCCCCTGCGGCGGCATCCGGCGCGGGGAAGGGCGGAGGAGGGGGGAAGGGAGCCGCGCGCGCGGCGGGAGGGGCGGCCCCGCCTGTCTCTCCTCGGCAGGGCTGGGCGGCCCCGGCGGCGGCGGTTCCCGTCTCGCGCGCCCTGGCGGCTCCGCTCGCGCTGCGTCTCGCGCCGTCTCCGTCCGTCCGTGCGCGCGTGGCGTGCGCGGGGGGGGGCGAGAGGGAGAAGGGGAGGAGGGGCGGGGCTCAGCCAGTGAGAGCGGCGCGCGGCCGCCCGGCCTTCCGCCCCGGCGGCCAATGGGAGGGCGCCGCCACCCGGGCCACAGGGGCCGAGCGCGACTCCGGGGGAGGAGGGGAGGAGAGGGCGGCCGGACGGCCCCGCCCCCCCGCCGAGAGCGGCGCCCCGCGGCGCGCGCGCTACGGCGCCGGCAGGCGGCGGGAGCGCCCGGGCCGCGCGCGCCCGCTCCCTCCTCCCCCGTCCTCGGGCCGCGCGCGTGCCCATTGTGGCGCGAGGGGCGGCGACGCGCGGGGCCGCTCCTACCGGGCTCCGCGCTCGCGGGGCCGCGCGGCGCCGCCGAGAGCCCGGAGGGGCCCCGCGCCGTCTCCGGTTCCTGCCGGGCCCACGGAGTGCTCGGCGCGACCGAAAGCGGCACCCTCGGCCTCCAGAGCCAAAGGAGCGTTGAGGACCGTCGTGAGACGGGGCGCCTTTCTGAGGCGTTTGAGGAGAAACGGGGCAGCGCCGTACTCTTTGAGGGCGCCGAGCAGCTGTTTCCTGTCAGCGCCGCGCTCCCCGCCTCGCCGCTCTCCGGGCCCCGCTCTCACCCCGCGGCCGTTTCACCCCGCCGCAGGGTCCCGCCCGGCCATGCCTGCCGCCTGCCCGCGTCCGCCGGCCCTTAATTTGCGGCTCTGAAGAAGGGCAGCGGCTTCTCGGCTACTGCAGGCTGCTGTTTGGGTAAGGGTGAAGCCCTAAACTAAACAGATTGGGGATGATGATAACTGGAGAGGATCCTATCTGCCTGGAGCTCCCCCAGCAGTGGTTTTCTCTGCTTGTCGAGTTTCCCTCTCTGAGCACGAGCCACACTGGGCATCAAAGAATTGAAAGCGTAGCACACACGGAATAAAACCCAACTTAAAACTATTATAGAAGCCCTGCAAGTTTTCCTCAACATGACAGAGTTTACCTGCGTGGAACGTGGTGTGGGATTAAGTAACAGTGAACATGAGTTGTGTTCCTGCTGACAGAGCAGGTGTTCTCTTGTGGAGGGAGGGAAGGGATCTCGGCGTATTGCTTGTATGAACAGAATTATCCAAACACTAACCAGTGCAGGCAGCCAGCAAGGATGGAGCTGTTCCTCTCACACCTTCGTTCTCCTGCTGTGACAGACAAGCTTCAGGCCCCTACACAGAATCATAGAATTGCTCAGGTTGGAAAAGACCCTAAAGATCATCAAGTCCAACCACAACCTAACCATACTGCCCTAACAACCCTCCACTAAATCATGTCCCTGATGTAGCTGATCTCAGTTGACCCTTCTTTTTCTGATAGTCCGGGGGCCTTGCCGATATCCAGAATTAATTCATTTTGTCAGCCTGGAAAGGGTCAGGTATGCAGCTGGTAATTCCCGGGAGAGGCCATAACTATCAGGAAAGCTCAATGATTTCTTGGTGGACTTCACATTCAGCCAAATGGACACCTAGTGTTTAGGTTAAAGGTATTTAGAGAGGCTGAAAATTCCAGTAAGAAGTTAGCTGACTTGGTTCTTGTTGGGTTCTGCTCTTGTCACTGCCATCCCTGCAGGTGACTGGTATCAGATGAGTGAATTGTTCAAATCAGTATCTAAATACTTTGTTCTCATTAAAAACAGATGTTTTTTACTAGTTGTTCTTCCTCTCCTTCAGCTATCTGTTTTTCTGTATCTAAGCCTACCCCATGGTTTTGCAGAACCCTCTGTTCCTAGCTCTGCTTTGCTGTTTAAGCCTGGGCAAATCACTTGCACCTTTGTGAGCTGCATTGTATGTTGTGAAACAGAGATCCTTGAGTGTTTGCAAGGTGTCATCGATGTTATTGTTCTGGTTAAGAAGTGTTACTTTTGCAGAAGTATCTGTGAAGGGAGATCTTCTGTTGCATCTGCCTATCTACTGTTAAGTTTTACATGAAAGTCGTTTGCTTTTCAGAGTGTGAAAAAATGGATTTGGCCAACCATGGACTTATTCTGCTGCAGCAGCTAAATGCTCAGAGAGAGTTTGGTTTCCTGTGTGACTGCACGGTTGCTATTGGTGATGTCTACTTCAAGGCACATAAATCGGTTCTTGCTTCTTTCTCCAACTACTTCAAGATGCTGTTTGTTCACCAAACCAGGTAACTATGGGAAGCCCAATCTGACTGTTAAAAAGTTGTTCAGTTAGCTTGAAACCTGCAGTGTTTTTTTTGCTTCTTGATAATGAATCTAGAATCTGTTTCAAAGTTGGACTGTGATTCATTAACAATAATATTCCAGTAAATGTTCTTTATCCTTAAAAAATCTATAACTCAGAAGAGAACATCTAATGACTCCTGTCTTCACTGTTGTGCTTTTCTTCTTCACCTGCCCAGCATTGCCACTATTTTTGACCTTTTCAGAACACTATATAAACTCAATAATATTTGCTAGGAGAAGATTTTGAGAAATGAACACGTAGATAAAGGTAGCATTTTTCACGTGTTTTTTTTTTAATCTGTCAAGTAAAACAGAACTACATAATGATAAAGTGTAAGACTGTTTTTTAAAGATTTTTGTGGACTTTTGTTTTTCCCAATTATTTGAACTATCTCAAAAAGTTTAAACGAGCGAAACTTTCAACTCTAGCTAAGAGTTTTCCAAAAGTAAACATCAAGGACGGAAGTAAATTTGCACTTCAGAGACAGGCAGATGTAGCAGACTTGGCTCCATCAGGAGCATACAACAGTCACTGGAAGACAGTGCTGCCAGTTTATTTTTGGGTAATGTATCAGAGTTCAAAAGCAGTTAGAGAGCTCAAGCAGAGGGCACACCTCAAGAAAGGGAAGAATTGGCTATGATTTTCTCCTCACCTACTGTGGTTAGAGCATTCAGACTGCAGTGCACAGTCGCGTCTGCTTCTGGATTTGCCTTTATTTAATATGTGCTTAATCTAAAAGCTACAGATAACTGAAAATCAATTAGAATCCCAGAAGCTCTCCCGTTAGCAAAGTTAACTTGGTTAGCCTAACCAAAACATTCCCGATTTTCTTTCTTGTCTTGTGAACCTCGCCTTTCTTTCTACACAGAGATCCAGCAGGAGGATTAATGGATGTTTCAGTCCAGAGTATACTAAAGATTGATGCATAGGGCATGCTCTAACTTGAAGGATGGCATTGGTTTCAGTTCTGTTAGGCTGAAGAGGGCATCACAATCACCAGCTGTCTCACTTACTGAATGCTATAAGGGACTGATGCATTTTGCCAAGGGTACTCCTGATGCTGCTACCTTTTCTTCCTCCCTGTTCAGGGAAGGAAGCTACTGTAGTTGTTTTACAAGGAGTCTAGCCTTTGCACATTAGATGTGCTCAGGCTACATCTCTTGCTTCCAACCGTCAGGAAATTCACACCCTGTCCTGCATCATTCTCGATCCTCACACAGCTCAGGCAAGGTGTTAACACACATTTCCACAACTGTGACTATAAGCACTAGTAAGACACTGAAGCCAAAGAGGCACATGTCAGATGAATTTTGGGTGTTTTCAGGGCTAAGAACTGAGACCATGAATTTAGACACCAGTGCTAGGAGGTTTTAATTTGGTTGTAGATGTATTTAAGCACAAAAAAAAGGAAAAATATCTTTGCAATTTATGAAATATATCAGTATGTGTCAACATATCTGTCGCGTAGCAGCCGTTGAGAAAGGTGCAGTTTGCAGTGGGACAATCTTTCTAGGCAATTAGTTTGCTGAGGGGAAAAAAGTCATCTTGCGAATGGCCAAGCATTTCTCTTCATTTATTACAGATTGTGTCTTTTGAATATAATATACAGTTCTGATTTTTACCAATGCTTGAATAACTTAAATCTGATTGAAAGCATTCTCCCAATCTGTTATTGATCATTCTGTTTCACTTTCCAGTGAATGTGTCCGTTTGAAAGCAACCGACATACAGCCAGATATCTTCAGTTATCTCTTGCATTTGATGTACACTGGGAAGATGGCACCACAGCTCATTGACCCAGTTCGACTAGAGCAGGGAATAAAGTTTCTGCATGCATATCCACTAATTCAGGAGGCCAGCCTTGCAAGTCAGGGAACTTTTTCTCACCCGGATCAAGTTTTTCCATTAGCATCTTCATTATATGGCATTCAGATTGCAGATCACCAGATCAGACATCCCGCTAAGGTTACATCGGCAGCTGACAAACTCGGGCGAGAACCAAGGCCACAGACTTCCCGGATGACCCAAGAACCGGTTTCAGAAGGCTCACAGCTCTCACAGTTACCTACAACTCTGCCACAAGTGAGCAGGACAAATATGGCCACTTCCGACCAATTGCCATCATCTTTGTCTCCAGAACTGGTATCTGCTGCTGGTAATAATTCACCTGCAGGAGAGGAAGCCAACATGGAAGCATCTTCTTCAGATGAACAGCCTGCTTCACTCACGATAGCACACGTCAAGCCAAGCATTATGAAAAGGAACGGAAGCTTCCCAAAGTACTATGCCTGCCACCTCTGCGGTCGCCGGTTCAATTTACGAAGTAGCTTGCGCGAACACTTGCAGATCCACACGGGAGTTCCCTTCACCTCTAGCCAGCAGGGAGAAAGTAATGTTTCTTTGTCGCTCTGTAACAACACAGCTGAGAAGGATGCTATGGAAGTGCCTGAAGCTGGGATGATTAGTGACAGCGAGCTGCAGCAGATCTCAGACTCTCCAATAATCGATGGGCAGCAGCAATCGGAGACACCTCCCCCCTCGGATATTGCAGACATAGACAACTTGGAGCAGGCAGATCAAGAGAGGGAAGTAAAAAGACGGAAATATGAATGTTCCATCTGCGGTCGTAAATTTATTCAGAAAAGCCACTGGAGGGAGCACATGTACATACACACTGGCAAACCCTTCAAGTGCAGCACTTGCGACAAAAGCTTTTGTAGGGCTAACCAGGCTGCCAGACATGTGTGCCTAAACCAGAGCATGGACACGTACACGATGGTGGACAAACAGACTCTGGAGCTCTGTACTTTTGAGGAAGGCAGTCAAATGGACAACATGCTAGTACAGACCAACAAGCCCTACAAATGTAACTTGTGTGACAAAACATTTTCGACTCCCAATGAAGTAGTCAAACATTCGTGCCAAAATCAAAACTCTGTCTTCACACTAGAAGAAGATCGCTCCATTCTGCTAGGTGGTGGGGACACGGAAGCCACAGAGACTGATAATGCAGTGTTAGCCTCCATCAAAAAGGAGCAGGAAGCAGTGTTGTTAGACTGAATGTGAAATCTATATCAATTTTTTAAAGTTTCTTTACTCATTTTTATTAAATCAATTTTTTCTTCCCCCTGCCTCTTTCCTCACTTACCCCTGCCATCTCTTCCACCAACTTTCCCACCCTTTGTCTTCAGCAACCAGAACTGTACTGGCACATTAGGAAATTGGACTTTGCCTCTCCCACCAAAACAAAAACGCTCTTGCATCAAACCACAACATAATTGATTTTAATACAAAGGAACACGTGAAAAATAATCCAGCTAACTATGTTGATAGTATTAGTTAATCCAAATTTAATAGATTTTAAATGAAATTTAGATCACTTGAAAGTGTATTTAGATACAATGATGACTTGATGACTGTAATGAGAAACAGAGTATCGGCTTGGTAAGCAAGGAATATATATATCTATATCTATATTAGTTTCCCTGGTAAAAGACGTTTTGAGAAGATCTGGCTATTTAAACACCATGCTTTTTAGAACTCCACATGCAAGTCGATTCAGATTATAACTTTAAAAGCCTCAGAATTTTTCCTCATTGAAGTGAATGCAAAAAGTTGTCAGTTGGGTTAAAAAGAGCTGAGAGTACTGAGTTTCTTTTAGCCTTATATTTTCCTTCAAGTATGCCTTTGGGGTATCTGTTTCAGATAGCATGATTGATTCAAGCAAAGTAGTTACTTAGTCAGATTTTGACTTAAGTAGCTGTAATAATAACGTGATGGCAATCTTTATATATATATATATATAAACTATCGTATATGTATAAAGATTTATATATATATGGAAAGTGTTTGTGTGTATATTTGGTACAGGTAAATAAATGCACACATCTTTTTTTAAGCAACTGGCCGTCTGCTCTCCAGTTCAAACTGGAAAGTATTTTAGTTGTTTGACTAAAGTAGTCATTGCACAGGTTTAAATCAAATGGGAAACGTCCTGAGCTGTGTGCATTTTTATTGGCCTGTAGAACAGAAGCTGTTGGATAAGTGTCGTCACCCAAGATACAAAGGAAACCAGAGAAGCGACATCCTGGTGGGCACTGTACCCTCATCAGTGCAGCACATGCATGTGTTGTTAGGTATAGTTTTGAGTCATTCCCGATGAGAGGAGAGAGAAAAACTTCATTGCCTTACTCAGGCAAGGAAAGTCCATGGTTTCGTTTGATATGATTGCATGAGATAAGAAGAAGTGGTTACAGAGATGTTCTAGCAATGGGGGATCATGGTTGTTTTAAAGCAAACCCATAGTGTTGACTGGCAAATTCTGCTCTTTGAGAGTCCCGTTATTTTCAAAGCCAAGACAAAGTCTGCAAAAACTGAAAGGATGAATTATGTAATTTTAGTTACTGATAATGATAGCACTGCGTCTTTGTGTTAAAAATCAAGTTGTTGATTCTTATTATTTTATATGAAATGCCCAGATGTTTTGCTGGTAGCATAAAAGAAACAAAACTGACAGCAGCAACGGAGTCCACCTAGCAAATACTGGGCCAGCAGAAGGTTGAAGCGGACAGAACAAAGTGCCCCGTGGTAAATGGAGGCACTGTGCTTTGGGGGGGAGGGGTGGGAGAGGGCAAGTCACAAACCACAGCTCTTCTCTGTGTATACATTTAAACTGAATATCATTTTGTGTATAGTTAAGTTCTCAGATTTGTAAGTTTTTATACATCATTTCATTGAATAAAAACTGAATTAAATGGAATGTGATTTATTGAGTTGCAGGTGAAAGGCTGTTGGGTTTTATCTTCCTGAAATAATTCTTACCAAATGAGTATAAAAGCCAAGCAATGTATTCTGCGTTTAGAATAAAACCTCTCTCATACATATGAACAAATAACTTACTAATGGCATGAAACAGTGGATATAGCACTACATACTTGTTTTTTTGAGTTCATTAGTATGATGTGACAATTATTGCAAAGTTTGTTGCGAGTGTGCTTGCAGCCTCGAAAGCCAACTGTGTTCTGGGCTGCATTCAAAAAGGGGCAGCCTGCAGGGAGAGGGAGGTGATTGTCCCCCCTCTACTCAGCTCTTGTGAGGCCCCATCTGGAGTATTGCATCCAGGCCTGGGACCCCCACTACAGGAAGGATGTAGAGCTCTTAGAGTGGATCCAGAGGAGGGCCACTAAGATGATCAGAGGGCTGGAGCACCTCTCCTATGAGGAAAGGCTGAGGGAACTGGGATTGTTTAGCTTGGAGAAGAAAAGGCTCTAGAGAGATATTCAGCAGACTGGAAAGGCGGGCCTGGGTGAATCTAATGAGGTTCAACACAGCAAAGTACAAGGTTTTTGCACTTGGGCCAGTGGAATCCCCCACATACATACAGACTGGAAGGAGCGGTTCTTGAGAGTAGCCTTGCAGAGAAGGACCCGGGAGTCCTAATAGATTGAAACTTAACAGGAGCCAGCAGTGTGCTCTTGCAGCTCAGAAAGCAAATGGTATCTCAGGGCTCCCATGTGGAGTACTGCATCCAGGGTCTGAAGCCCCTAATACAAGAAAGACAGAGCTGCTGGAGAGGGTCCAGAGAAGATCCACAAAGATGAAAGGGTAGATAACTGCAGGACAAGGAGAAATGGTTTAAGTTGAAGGTAAGTTGAAGGAGGGAAGATTTAGCTTGGCTATCAGGGGGAAGTGCTTTTCTATGTTCCAGCATTTCACCACTCTCAAACTGTCCAGACAGGTTGCCCTGTCCCTAGAGGTGTTCAAGGCCAAGTTGAATGGTCCAGTATTACACGTGGAAGTTGGTGGCTCTGCCTGTGGTAGGGGGGTTGGAGATTCATGATCCTCAAGGTCCCTTCCAACCCAGGCCATTCTGTGATTTTGAGACCTCACTGTGGCCTTCCACTACTTTAAGGGAGCATATAAACAGGAAGGAAAAGGGCTGTTTATGAGGGTGGATAATGACAGGACAAGAGAGAATGGTTTTAAATTGAGACAGGGATGTTTTATTTTAGATATTAGGAAGAAGTTTTTCCACACAGAGGGTGATGACACACTGGAACAGGTTGCCCAAAGAGGCTGTGGATGCCCCATCTGTAGAGGCGTTCAAGGCCAGGCTGAATGTGGCTCTGGGCAACCTGGTCTGGTGGTTGGCAACCCTGCACATAGCAGGGGGGGCTGAAACTAGATGATGATCTTTGTGGTCCTTTTCAACCCAGGCCATTCTATGATTCTGTAGTATTGAGTTTGTTATGTCTCATATTAGAATAATACATCCAAAATCAGTTCATTTTACATCAATATATAAAAGCATTTTCAGGTAAAAATATAACATCTTACAGAATGTAGCATTACCCATTGAAAAGCTTTCAGGATCTTCATCTACTAACGTAATTTCTTTAATTATGGGCTGGGGAGGGGGGGGGAAGTGATGTTTTTATTTATTTTTAATTTCCTCTCAGTCTCAAATACTCTCAGAACAGGAGGGAAAAAAAAACACTTAAGTCCTTCCTCATTCAGAATATGCTCAGCATTTTGAGGTAGCAGTACTTTAGGGGATAGTCACAGGTTCAGTTCAAAAATGACCATGGCCGCAAAAGGTGTTGTTATTAGATACCACATCACCAAGTGATCCTTCAAGAGCTTCAGGTGAGCTCTTATGCAAAAGCCAGAGGTTAAGCTCAGCCCCCTGGTTGCATAGGGAGTGTACACATGGCCACACTATTTTTTGATGAGCTATTCAGCAGCCCTCAGTCTGTATTTTAATTTAGCTCAAACTGATTGCATTGAGGAATAATCAGTCAAAAAAAAAAAGAAGTGCTATTTCTCTATTATTTCTATACCTTATTTCAACTCTGTAGAGGCCTTCAGGCAACTCATAGATTGAGAGCAGATATGAATAGGGAGGAGCATCACTGAAGCCAGCATTGCTACTGGTAATATCTAGGGTGAAGAAGATGTAATGCTATAATGTGACAGAAAACAGGAATAACAGCAAGGTATCAAAGTCCTAGTTCTACAGCAAATGAGGACAAGCCCAAATGCAGCAGCAATAGAGACAGAAAGGAAGGAAAAAAAATTACCTACCTTTGGAAGGCCTCAGGTAGGTGGGAATTTCCATTCAGATACCCTTGCTTTCAATGCCAATATTTAAATGAGGCTTGGGAAGGGTAGGATCCTGGCTCCACCCCTTCTGGTCACTCAGGTATATTAAATGCACCTGAGCTCCCCCAGGTTAGCCCTGCCTTCCTACCAGGTGCTCAATCACTGCTTCAAGCTGTGATTTGGCATTTCCAATGCAGAGGTAGGAAGTGGTGATTGCCTCCTCTGCTGGGCAGCTTGGCTTTATAAGGTGGTGTGCTGCTGAAAAGAAGCGAACAAGCTGCAATGAACAAGCAGCAGGGGAGGAAGCTTCCAAAGGAGTAACGTGAAAGTGAATTTCCCTGGCATGTTGTTTAGTTATACTTTTGCCTTGACTTCTGCAGAACCGAGCAGTTTTGATTGTCAATGGAGGATGAGCATTCCTTCTGAACGTGAAGATCACAGCTCCCTATAAAAAAACACTTGTCAACTTTGTACCAACACCTCTTTCGTCTCTTGTCTGCTAAAATCATTCTCGTTCTGCAGGGAGAGAATTGTGAGAAGACAACGGTGTCAAAAATATTGAGAAATTTAAACAGTGATCGTTTTACGTTAAGTTGCTGTCTCGACGTTCGGAAATTGCACCAAATTCCACAACAGCATCGCGGCGTCCAGCGCTCACCTCGGTGAGAGAAACTCACCCTTCCGCGCGGGCTCCTCTCGAGCCGTACCGCCCTCGGGGCGGCGGGCGGGGCTGGCTCGGGCCGGAAGCCGGGCAGCTCCATGGCGGCCGCAGCCGCCATCTCTAGGCAACGCGAGAAGGGCGCGGGGCGGGGCGGCCGGTAGCAGCTGCCGCCCGGTTCATTCGCTCGCAGCCGGCGCTTGCGTGAGCCGCCAGCCGTGCGGCCCTCCGCCTGGGAATCCTGCCCGGCCGTCCCACCTGGGGTCTGCTTGCCTTACGGCTGATCTGAGCCGACCGACTGGCCTCAGCATCGGAAGCGACAGAGAGCGGAGCTGCCCTTTACAGGCGCGCAGTGCAGCGCCGAAACAGCGTGCCAAAACAGCGACAGCGGGGCGGTCCCGAGGGCTGAGCCGCTTAGGAAGCAGTGAGCCAAACTACAAAACTGCCATCGTACCTCTGAGGACGCCTCCCTTCCTGTTTGGGGTGGTTTGGTTTTGTTGTTTTTCTTTTCGTGTGGGTTTTTGTTTTGTTTATGCGTGGCCGGTGGTTGTTCTTTGCTTTTGGTTTACTTCGAACGCCTGGTTTGCTTTCAGGTCGCTGTTTCCTCTAACGATGGCCTGAACACATAAGGCGTAGAAATAACAGCGGGTTGGTTTGCACTTCTAGAAGTGTTTGAAGTTTCACAAGTTTCTGTGATAATGCCATAGGGTGGATGTGTCACGCTCTCCTCTGAGAGCTGCTGCTTCTCTTCACCCCCACAGCTGAACAGCATAAGGTCCAGGATGCCCGCAGGGAGACATACAAGTCAGAGATGATGTTCGTATTGCTCGGTGCTTCAGGAACTGGGAGTGGATCCTGCTGCTAGAGAGCTTCCTAGAAGAGACGCTTTCTGCCCCAAAAGGAACTCGTCCGACAGAAAGTAGAAGTTCTCAAGACCTGTATTCGTGTCTCAGCACAAATTCCTGATGGGGGAGGGTTAAAATGCATGAGGAAGTCACTCAGTGTTGCAGTATCACCTGAATCGTTGTGCTCCTGGTATTCCAGAAGGAGAGCGGGACATGACTGGCACACTGTGAGTCTGGTCTCCTCTGGAGTGCTTACACCAGCTAAGGTTTTGCATGGTGAGAGAAAACAAGTGCAGCTGCTGCTGCCAAGTGGATTTATTTGCTCTGGCATGTAACTTACTTGCAGTGCTATACCTCAGTGGTGACACTGAGAAATGAGTGCATTTATTTCCTATTGCTGCCAAGGAACACAATCAAATGTGGCTCTGCGGACCAAGAAATAGGGTTACAATACCACTGGCTCTTAGTAATGACATCTCAGCTACTCAACATAAAGGAGAGAGGTTATTTGCAGGAGTGACACTCTAGGCATTAAGCTGTCACTGGGATAGCATTAAGGGCTATGGATTTCTCTGACTGAAACAAAGCATGCAGTTTTGCAGAAGTAACAGCTTGCAAGCAGTGTATAAGAAGGCAGTTCTTCAGTTTGTCTTTAAAACTTACCAGCTGAGTGGCAAAATTATTCTTCAGTGTCCAGTGGGATAAACAGGGAGCATTTCTTGGTATCAGCCTGCAAGAGGAAACGTGCTAAGATTACACAAGTGAGTTGCTCCAGCTACTCAAACTCACAAAGGCTCTAGGGAGTAACCAGAGCAAGCTGAACACCTGCTGAAGAGAGGCTTAGGTCCAGGAATGACACTGCCTCTCTCCAGCTGACAGGGACACTTGTGGCAAAGGCTTGTGCTGCAGCCAGCCACCCTTGACCTGTCCAACAGGCCACAAGCTCAGTGCTAGCTTAGACTGAAATTTTGATGCAGAAAAACTGCAGTCTGGAAAAAGTCATCTAAAAGTGAATGAGGGGCCACGATCTGAACCTTGAGCCAGGGCTGGGCATTTTGGATGAGGCTCAACTTGCAACCAAGGTGTAAAGTTAGGATGGAAAGGGAAACAGCCAAACCAGCGTGAGGCTGCATAGGAGCTGCTGAAGGAAGGGGAAGGCTGCAA